TGCGCTTATGAAGAAGAAGAAGAAGAAGGTAGAATAGTGTTAATAAATTTTCGAAATACAAAAATATTTTCAGCACTTATTGCGCATAGAAAAATAGAAAAATGATATACTAATAAGAAAAATACATCTGACATATTTACCCAGATCCGTTATATATCGTTATGTTCATCAGTTCTCGGAACAAATCTCACACAGGTATTTTCACGATAATAAGCGATTGCATCATCAATGAGTTTCATCTTTTTGTCTGTAAATGCGAAGGGAAAACAATACAAATATGAAAATTAATAAATTAATCTGTAATAAAATTTGTAATAACTACGTTTTTCAAATAGTAATACGTAGAAAACTATTTTACTTTTGTAAAAAAAATGAGAAAAAAAAGTTAGTGTACCTTACTTTTCAACGAAAGCATTTGAAATTTTTGATCGTAATAGACTCTTATTATGAAAGAAGTTCTCCATGCTTTTCGATTCATGCCTTGCAAAAATAAAATTGTTCTATAAGCTGTAGACTACTTGAAAATTGTGATTTTTTTTAAAAAATTTTTTCGTTTCGTATCTGAAAGTATGCATAAAAAAGCGGATGAAATTTAAATTTAAAATAAAATAACCCTTGTTATTATAAATAACAAATATGGTATGTATTAGTGGGCAGAAAAATATCAAGGCTTTTATTACCTTATTGCTATTCTAGCAAAGTAGAAAATCGTCAAAATTTCGATAGACAATAAATTTCGATTAGCTGTTATGTAGGAACAAATTTAGAGCATCTAATGAACCTAACATTAAACATAATCTAATGATCCTAACATTAATGAGTCAACTAATGAACCTAACATTAACTTAATTAAAGAATGAAATCAAGCAGGTCACGTTATCAAAACGGACGAAGACTGCACCACAAAAAAAGTTTTCAGTACCAGACCAGTTGGCACACGAAAAAGAGGCAGGCCGAATTCGAGATGGATAGATGACCTAGAAAACTCTTAAAAAACAAAAACTGTAAAACGCTCGCAGGAAAAAGGTTAGCCTGGAAAAAACTTCTTGACTGTTGAGGACTAACTCGAACACACTTGAGAAGACTAACTGGACTGTCGAGCCATTGATAATGATGATTATGTAGGAATAAATTTCATTTGCAGTGGTCTGGAAACTGTTTAAACTTGTATTTTCACAAGGCATTAAGATGTAAAAGGGATTGGAGTATTTTCTAAATAGAAAGTGTTCAAAAAATTTCGAAATATTTAATTTTTGTAAATAGTAGCAGTTAGACCGGGGTTTCGTCTATAAAAGAATGGAAAATTACTGTTTGACTGACCGATCTGAACAGTATGTATTTCTCGAAAATATGATATTTACCGTTTTATTCTTATTTTTCTTCATACAATATGGTAAAGTAGACACAGCTGTGACAAATTGTCGCAATTATGTTGCTCTTAAATAATTCAGTGCGTAATTATTAATTAACTGTTTTTAGTGCAATTACAAATTTCCTCAGCTTAACAAATACTTTCGTTAATACATAATAACTAAGAATAATAACTTAACATATAATTTTGATCCTCGGACCGGGCAAAGTTGACTTCCCCTTTCATCCTTTCAGTGGGTAGATAACATGAGTACCAAGTATGCTTGGGGATTAAACACTTGGGGTTCCGCGTTTGGCAACCACCCAACCGGACCATCTGTTCTTGCACCCCAGAACTCAAGGTCAAGAAAACTGAGGTGGACCCAGTAAGCCTTGGCCCTCTCTGGGATGTCGCGTCACTGAGTTTAGTTTAGTTCAGTTTAATTAATACTTTTTATGTTACTTTATTTATTTCTAACAGCAGTCTATTCTCCATTTACCTTTACGTAAAAAACTAACGATCAAGAGGGAAGAATGCTTTATATCCATGAAAATGAATTTCAAGTTGGACAAGAAACGTTTTTGTGCCCCATATCATTTTGAACGTGAATTAACTCTGAAGAAAAACCGATTTTCCACGTTATTTATGGGTTAAAACTTATCAATTCTTAAAATGCAACAAATGGTTCAATAATCAGTTTTGTGAAAATTGGACATAAATCATTCTTTCCCATTGATCTTAAATTATTTGGTTCTTTATTAAGTTAAGCAACAGACATTTTGATGTGACACTAAACCTGTATGAATGTTACTTCATGTTTATTTATCTGTTAGATATTTCTTACTTTACCAGAATAATTGCAAAAATTAAATGATTAAAATATTTTATTACCCTTACGAAATACAATTTTTGCAACGAATAACAAATTTTAATAAAAGCAAAAAAGTTAAGGACGGAGTAAAATTCGATTTTATCCATAACACTTGGTCATAGCTTTCTTCTTCTTTTATCTTGTCATCCCTTTCTGCGAGTAGCTTAAAATTAGATTTGATTGAAAAACTTGACAATGAAAATCTCGAAATAAATGTAATTCTAATAAAGCTGTATCTGGAATTGGAACTGCCTAGCATTGGTTCAAAACGCTTAGTTTTTTTCTGGTGGTGGGGGGGGAGAAATATGCACATTATGTACTGAAAATTAAAATATTAAACCAAGCATTTTATTATAATGCATTTTTCATTTCGCAGCAAATGAAACTAAGACCAAGTGTAACGTTAACCTTTTGACATATCAATTATATTGTAGTGAATATATTGAAAATCCATGCAGTTTCCATTTTTTACCTAAACATTTTGGTCATTAGCAAAGTTAAACTTACACTAATAAAGAATGTATTTTCAAAACTACTAGAATAAGGAAAAATTTACATTGTTTCTGGATCTATGCTTTAAAAGCGGTTTTGGTAAAATTAACAATAAAGTATGGTTTCAAAATGTGCAAAAACAATTGGCAAATGTGGTAATTTGATCATTATACATTGAAGAATGGCATGAAAAGCATTTATTCGGTTGAATTCATTTTTCAGTTTTGCATATTTTACTAAAGCAATAAGAACTAGATACCTGAAAAGTGGAATTTCCGGGAAACTGTTACCCTATGAGGAGAAAAATAACTAAATGAATGGTTCAAATATTGTATATTTTTGTTTTTATTACCAGAATTATGGTGTTTTTTCGAAAAATGCCTCCATCCTATCATATATATCAGTACGGTAATTTCACCGAAATTTTTTCTCAGCTTACAAACATATCTAATTTATTTGTTAACTGAGAATGGAATAAACAAACATAAAGCTCTTCTTATTAAAAAATTAAATATATAACTAGCATCTGAAATTTTTCATCGATGTTTTTGCTATTAAAACTAAGTGGTGAATATTTGCTTTCAACGCTGTTATCAGGTAACATAAGTCGAAATATACAATGTTACATGCCATTAGGATAAAAAAACACTTAAGTTTACAATCAGGTAAGATGTTTTTCTGCTTCTATCAGGTTCCATAATATTTTTTCACTAGAAAAATTTACTAAACTCTCAATTCTTAGTCTTCCCTTTAAGAAGTATGTTCCCATTTCAGATAAATTCAAAATCGGTAAGAAAATTAAAAGGTACAAAAACTTGCAAATCGGCAAATACATGCAGCTGAATTTTTCGATCAAGTTATTTTATGTTTATCATTAGAAGAAATCAATCTAAAGTGGGTAGAGTCTGTACTGGGGTATGATTCCCCGGGATAGAGGTTAGTATTCAGTTCAAATTGAATTTTCTTCTATCATTGCCTTAGTTTAGAAAATTTGAAGTAAGTTTGTGATATTTAAAAAATTTAATTTTTTTTAAAGTTAATTTTTAGCTAAAGATTTAAAAACGAAACTCTTAAAGGAACAAACGTTTTTAAATGGTGCTACGTGACGAAAATACAGAATTGCATGTCTAAAATTTAGAAGAAAAAAATTCTTTTAATTTTTTCGAGAGATTTTATTTATATTTTTTCTTTTTATTTATTTATTCTGTCTTGTTAAGCTGGTCTTGTTAAGGAAGCTAAAAGGAAACTTATATGGCGTCAGACGTCTTAAGATTAGAATATAATATTTTTCGAAAACGCCAAATTCCAAACAACCTAATGTGAATAATATTTTAATACTATTCTAAAGATATATGCTCTGTATTCCGAAATTATCGTACTTACTATATGTTTAAAGAAACTTGTCAAAAAGGGTTTTTGGGATGTAGTATGCCAAAATCAGTTTGATTGATTGATGAAACTGATTCTACAAATCCTGCCTGCTTCCTCTTGCAATGAAACAGATTTTGAGGTTTTTAACCTAGCTCCTTCTACTGCTTTTTAGTTTATTTTGCCTTTAAATATTTGGTTCTGACGCTAAAAATATATTATTTTTTTCCCTCACTTTTGGCAAAAGTTATAAAAATGCAATTGGAGTCGTTAGAGTCAACCTATAAATTAAGAATTGTCTTTGAACAGCAGTAAGGAAATAGGATTAGAAAATATATTTCACGAAGCTTAACATCATTTGCTACGTGAAGAAATGCTTTGACTTTAAACAAATTTGAAATTAATTAAATTGTTAAAAATTACTTTAAAAATATTATTATGTGAAAACTAATATTTACCATTAATATCGTCTTCAATAACATACGGTACTACAGCATTGGGCCACCTAAACTGTTTACCTCGTCTCCCATTTCTGTCGGCTTCCTGAAATTAAAAGAAAGAAAAATAATAATACAAAAATTAAGTAAGTAATATCTATCTATCCATTTTATAACCTTATTATTTAAATCACTAATGCATATTCCCCCCACCCCCAAATGATTAAATTCGTCATTGCATTTGCAACGAAAGAACTGTAAATAGAAATATCAAGTGAGTGAGCAGCTATAAGCATGAAAAAAGGAAAAAGTATTACCTATATATTAGATAATAGTATATATAGACACGCCAGTAGGCACAGTCAGTGGAATTGTCTTGTCAAATGAAATAAAACATCTTTTTTTCAATTTCTTAGTTTAAAGTAACAAAAAATTACTGCATATTTTTATTGTTTTTATTTTTTAAACTGCATCAAAAAGGAGTAAAGTAAGTAAAACAAATAATGGAATATTTTCAGAAAAATAATCTACTGAGCAAATTAATTGGGACAAACAAATTTTTTCAGAAAATTGTTTTTTTCTCGGAGATTTCCAGCCCAAACCGGTTTGAACTGGGCCAAAGCATGGGGTTGCTTTTGGCTGGTTTAAGCCGGCTTGACAACATGATCATCTTGTGTCGAACATTTACTCCTTATTCGCGCTTCAGTTGCTGTCAGGAGCGGTCGATTGTGCGAATTGTTTGCTTCTGACGTGTATTAAAAAAATGGATATCAGTCCCAGGAAAAGAATTCGAATTGTTACGCTTAGTCAGCATACATCTATGACTGTAAGGAATATTGCTGCTACAGTTGGAGTTGGAAAATCGAGTGCTTCGAGGATTATTCATATGCAAAAGAATTTGGGTACAGTGTCTCCGAAACGAAAGAGTAAATGTGGACTCAAACGCAAGACGACACCTCGAACAGACCAATTTCTATTACGAAATAGTAAAATGCATCCTCGCAAAACAAGTACAGACCTTCAGAGAGATTTATCAGCTACTGGTGTGAGCATCGATACATCGACAGTCCGACGAAGGCTTAATGAAGCTGGGAGAATTGCAGGAAAACCAATAAAAAAACAGCTATTAACATCTGTAATGAATAGAAAACGTTTGATTTGGGCCAAGAAAAATAAATCCTGGACTGCACAAGACTGGAAAAAAGTTATATTCAGCGACGAAATGCATTTTTTGGTAAAAGAGTTTCGACCAAGATTTGTCAGACGAAGTGCTGGAGAACCCATAAGTGAACAACATATTATTCAGACAGTTAAGCACCCCTAAAAGCATATATTTTGGGGTTGTTTTACCTCTGGAGGACCTGGCAGCTTAGTACCGATTGAAGGAATGATGAACTCTCAAAAGTACATTCCAATAATAGAAAAAAAAGTTGTGCCTTTGATGCAAACGTTCGCTGGGGGTGTTAGCGTCTTTCAACAAGATCCCGCTCCTTGCCACAATTCTAAGATGACAAAGAACAGAAATTAAAGGTTTTGGATTGGCCAGGTAATTCTCCTGATCTCAATCCCATCTAAAATTTTTGGAGTATAGTGAAGAGACGTGTGAGTCAAATGGACTGCTCAACAAAGAAATCAATGATTGAGAATGTTATAAAAGTTTGGTTTCACGATGACGAGATCAAAAATTTATGTTCGAATTTAGTAGAATCCATGCCAAACCGAGTACGAGATCTATATCGAGCTAAAGGAGGACATATTTCATATTAGATTGCTATACCATGCTTGTAAGTTAATGTACGTCAGCTCAGATTGCATGGAAAACTGAGGTAGAAGGATCGAGGATTGGAACGAAGATCGAAGGTAGGAGGACGAACCGAAATAGTTCCTGGGCGGAGGAATACCGGCGGAGGAGCATCAACCGGCGGCCAAGGCAGGGAGTGAAAAGGCTGAAGTCCAGTATTTAAGCAGATGACAGTTTGCCTTCGAGAGAGGTTGTTGTGCAGCGTCCGAGACTTCGTCCCGATATCCCATTTCTTCCCGGTGACGCACACCTGCAGTATGCGACATTTACAATCAAAAGTTTAAGTTTGTAATTGTTCTTTTAATAACAACTTTTAATGTTTTTAAAGAATAACTTGTTAATTGGAGTTTGTGAAGTTTCGTAGATGGTTTGTTATCTTTCAATATTAAAGAGGATGTTTCTTTGCCATATTGTTTTCATTTGAAAGTCTTACATTCCCATCACCGAAGCATATACAATTGGTGACCTGTAAACGAATGCGTATATTTCTGTTTCTGCAAACTGCTTTTGAGAAATTCTACTAGTTGATGGATTACGGGGAAATGCTGGTACGTTTCAAGTTTTAGAGTTTTTTGGCAAGCCGTGAGTGCAAATTACTTCTATTGTTGGACTTATTAATTTTGGATTAATGCGAAAAATGCCCGAATCTACTGAAGCTGCTGATCAACAAATTGCTCGTGTCACTGTAAAGCCGCCACCTTTTTGGAGAGCTAATCCAGAATTGTGATTCAGGCAAATAGAAAATCAGTTCACTCATGCGAGAGTAAGTACAGAATCAACGAAATTCCACCATGTAGTTGCTGCTCTACAACCGGAGGAACTGGCGATTATCAGCGACATTGTTATCAGTCCACCTGTGGATAAGGATTTCGCCGCACTTAAGAAAAGATTGTGCTCTCAATATGCTGAATCTGAAGCTCAACGCTTAACCCTTTCGAGCCGACTGTCACATATATGTGACAGCAAGAAACGCGCTCACTTCCCGGCCGACACACCCGCGTGTCAGAGAGTTTTCTCGTTCACCCCCGACCGTCACTTATTTGTGCCAGCGTTTCGGAACGTTTTAAAAAATGAAATTTCTTCCAAAAGATGGCATTGTATGTCCATATGGTTTCAGATACATGTAGATTTGACCTTCTACTCAAGATGAAAGTACAGTCACGTGGTTTTTAGGGGAAGGAGTGGAGGGGGGGAATGTTTTATGAGGGCTCTTTAAATTAGCACGTGATATTTATTTACAGTAAGTAAGGGAGTTTTTTTTATCTCTCGCTACTTTCGATTTTCGGATTAGTTTTTAGTGGATAATTAGATCTTGTAGGCTTGAATTTTTTTTCTTTTTACCGTTAGAATGTCGAAGCGTCGAAAATTTTTAACTGAGCTGGAAATAGAGGAAATTATGCAAAATATTTAAACTTATTAATATTTATATTACATTTAAACAAGAAATAACTTAAGTAAATAAAGTATCCATAGAAATATATATAAAGCATATGTCACTTAAATACTCTACAGAACAATATTAAACAACGCGCTGATATTTCGGTAATTTCATGGAATTAGGCTTAACATCGAAAAACCCTCCGGCCCTGGGGAGACACACGCTAGAGAGACTGCCGGCCTCAGCGGTAAGCGCGCTTTCGCGCTTTGCGTCGCGAAAGGGTTAAAGAAA